GGGGTCTGACCACCCAGGCCCGACCCATTTCCTTGTTTTTTAGTTTTTTATTTGTTATTTTTTTATCTTTTATTGTATTAATTAATAAATACTAACCCTAAAATTAAAATTCTAACATTTTTTTAAAATTAAAATTCTAACCCTTTTTAAAATTAAAATTTTAACCTTTTTTTAAATTAAAATTCTAACTTTTTTATTCACATTCTAACACCTTTTATTCAAAATTCTAACTTTTTTATTCAAAAGTTCAGACACTTTTTCTAATTACATAACAATTAATTTCTTTTCTAAAATTTTCTCAAGTCCAGTTCTACCACTTGTTTCCACTTAATTTCTTTCCTTCATAATCACTATCTAACATTTTTTTTAATTTCTCATGTTAATTCCATCTCTATCACTGCTCATTGTACATTATTCCACGTTTCACTATCTTCACTGCTTTTCAATTTTCACTGTTTATTATTCTTCGTTTATTTCCCTTCGAAGGAAATGTTTAACTGTTTGACCCCTGTGTCAATATTCCTTTACCCTCTTCCATCCTAGCCTTAGGATCCGAGTCGCCGTACTCGTGTTTAGGCGTCCTGCCGTGGACACATCTTTCACCTTTTCCAAACCTTAAGACGTTGAGTCGTCGTACTCATGCTTAGGTGTCCCGCCGCGGACATCCACCCCTTTATCCTAGCCTTAGGATTAGGAGTCGTCGTACTTCATGTAAGTTCCCGCTGTGGAATACTTACTCTTCACTCTTTTCAATTCAACTTACAACATAGAATTAGGAGTCGCCGCACTCCACGTAAACGATTCCATATGAATGTTTATTCCCCCCTGGAACCTTGACCACAGTCAAAAAGTTCCTCTTCCTCTCTCTGTAAGGGGAACTACAATTACTCTGATTCCATCCCCTACCTCGGATACGTAGGCACAAGATGCGAGTCTTGGCGAGTAAACTTAGGATTAACCCTTAGGTCCTTTTCTCTTTACCCTTTAACCCTTAGCATTACCCTTAAGTAGATAACCATAACAATAGCACATTAAAACAAGAGGTTCCTGTAGAGTACTACAGAAGTTTAGAATGCTAATACCTTCCCTAAGCTTAACCAACCCCCGAACCCTAGATCTTTCCCCGCATTGTGTTTACGATGCAAAATAGGTTTTTCCTTTCTTTAACCCTTCCTTCGAATAAACCAAAGACCGATTGTGAACTAAAAATGTGATTCAAATTAATCAATAATTTGATATCCTATTTTCACCACAACAACAAGCTCATGACTTGTTCTTAGGAACTATTCAAGAAGGAGCCACAATGCTATGGAAGAGTCATCAGATGTTGAGGCTCTGAAGGAAAAAACTTGGCAAGTAGAAGCTACAGGCTCATGAATTCTTCCTATCATTTGTATGAAACCCATATACCAGCCCCACATCAACCACCTACATATTTCTCTGAACACACACCCTCATCCAAACCTGACATGGTTCTACCCTTAGAACCAGATATGTCTTATCCTAAACCAACCTATAACTCTGATTATGATGAATCTGACTCCCAAGTAAGTTTGATTCTAAACTCATTCCAAATACCATCAGTCATAAATGAACTATCCAAACACCTAGTTGGTGATTTCACTTCTGAACAAAACTAACTAGCGGGTATACTAGAATATGAACAACCCACTCCTATAAACACCATGATTAATACTGATCAGATAATGGAAACCTTACTAGAAGATTAACCTATAGAAGCCATACCACTTCAAGCTATCCCTTTAGAAACTACAACATCTGAAACTCACCAACTACAAAACCAAATTAACCTTGTTCAAATTGAAACTAAACATGAACAAGCCATACCAGACCAAACCATACCAGAAGCCCAACCTAAACCACAATCCTCTAATCCAAAAATATCAAACTCAAAAATATGAACACCATTTTCCCTTCAAAAGAACTAGATGATGTTAAGTGGGGCACTCTCCAAACCTATGTGGATGCAACTCTGCAGAATCTGAAGACTTTTACTTCTGAGTCTGTAGCTTCTTCTAGCTAAAAGCAAGAGCGCTTAGAGGCAAAATTGGCTACTGTAGCTGCTAATCAAGAGGTAATGGGAGCTTAGCTTCAGACTGTGGTTGCTAAGATTCTCTAGTCAACAAACAAGCATAAATGGATGCTCATTTGAAGTTTGTGGTTGCAAGGAAAAATGATATCTGGTCAGATATTAAAGTCATCCTGGAGATTCTGAAGAAACCCTCGACTTTAGGAGTTAACACCTTCTGTTGTTTTTTACTTTACTGTTGACTTACTTTAAAATATTTTGCAATCTGAAAACTATTTTATGTGGCTTAAATGATATTTTCTTCAGTATCTTTTTTTGTTTCCTTTACTTTCTGTTGATGATAAAAGGGGAGTAAGATAAATAAGTATTTAAGCATCTAAATATGATATTTAAGAACTAATTCTTGCTTAAATTATGAAAAATTATTTATTGTGCTTTAAATATCAAATTTAATTAACCTAGATAGAACTTAGGGGAAACTTACAAACCTCAATTTTTGGACCATTAGACTCAGGGGGAGCTTACAAACCTCAAACCCTGAAGTTAACTTTTTAATCAAATTAACAACCAATGTTCTTAAATACTTGTGTTTGTTCATCATAAAAAGGAGGATATTGTTGGAACAAAATTGGTTTATGCCATATCTATAAGGTTTTGATGATAACAAAGTATTTAAATAATATTTGGGCATACTAATAAATGTTCAAGTGTGCAAGACCATAAACTTAAATTTCTGATATAAACTTAGTACCAGTATTGAAAATGAACATTTAAAGAGAGGCTACAAGATCTAAAACTTGAAGGATCGGAACTTGAGAACCAAACTCTAAAGACTCATATTCTAAAGGAGGTCAACTTTTGAAGACCAGACTTTAAAGAAAGTCAATCTATGAAGACTCTGACTCTAAAGGATCAAAACCTAAGATCTAGACTCTGAAGACTCAAACTCTATAGGAGGTCATCTTTCTCTGAAGTTCTCAGACTCTGAAGTCAGTCAACACAAGGATCAAGAAGACTTTAATAGGTCACTATCAAACTTTGAGATCGATCAACACAAGGATCGAGAAGACTGTGACAAATCACTATTAGACTCAGAGAGCAGTTTGTATTCTTCTGATCACTTGTAGATCCAAACAAATATCTCTACAGACAGTTGGGATGTAACAAATAATTCCTCTTGAAGTAAAGAGATTTCAAATGTCTTTTCAATGATATTAACCATATCAAATAACACTCTAACGTCTATGATCAAGCTTCTCCAAGACTTACTTGTGCTAACTCTTCTCTTCAACGACTCTTTTTTTTGTTTCTCTATATAATGAGCTGAAGACTTGAAGAAAGAAAACTAACCATTGACAATAAAAAGAGTTGTTACTTTGTCAAACAAAAAACACAAGTTTAACTTATAATTTCTTATAATTTGTATATCTTAGAAATTCATAAGTCTTAAGAGTCTTTTAAGTTGTATTTTGTTTACACCTCTGGTTGTATATCAAGTGTAATATTCAAACAATCTTTCAAGTTAGATTGTAAGAAGTCTCTTGTTTGTGTGCTTGAACATCTAAAGTTTTTTGCTTGTGCGCTTGAACATTGGAATCTCTTACTTGTGTGTTTGAGTATTGAAAGTCTCTTATTTATGTGTTTGAGCATTTGCAAGCAGTTGTTATTATAATGAAATATATTGAAAGCGCAAGATTATTGAACTACTATCATTTTGTGGGAGAAATCAAATAAATTTACTTGTATCTCTCTTTCTTTCACTCTCTATTTCTGAACTTATTTTTATCCATTACAAATATTTGACTCAATTTTTAGATTCTAGACTAAATTTAAAATCTGATAAGAGATTTAAAAAAATAAAAGAAAAGAAAAAATTATCTCAATTCAACCCCTCTTATGTCTTTTTCACCTAGCAATATGTAATTGGTTGTACTATATAAGTAGTAATTTAACCTTTCCATCATTGGCTTTGCAAAAATGGGTCGGAACGCCTTCTTTTCAAACACCAGCTAGTCTCTACTTTATATGATGCGCAAACGCTCCAAAGGTGATGCCAAACACCTTTTGGATAACTCATGCGATGGGTATATAGATGAATATATCACCATCACATTTCATTCATGTAACACCATGCAAACAAAATGTACAATAATGTAATGCAAATTATAACTAAATAGCCATTGATCATAAAAACAAAGACAATTCAACTAAATTAATAAATAAAGTGAAAATAATAATAAAAACAACGCCTAACATACTTCGTGCTCAAATCATATAATTTTTTTTTTTTAAACAGACAATACTAAGACTTAAAAAGAATTTATCTTTTAAAATATAATTTCGAATCATAAATAAAATCTCTTAAATCTGCTTAATGTTTAATCCATATAGTAAGTATAAATAATTTATTTTTATAATTATTCTTATTAAAAAATATAGTTAGATTTTTACATAAAGTTACAATCTTTGAATATTCGAAAGTTAAGTTAATATTATTGACTGTATACTTCTTTTGTGTAATTAAATATATGTTAAGCAATTATTTTTTTTATCAGGGTTCATCCAAAGCGCCACATAAATTATTAGAGTGTAACACCATGACACTACTCACTTATAAACATCATAAACTTTCAAAATGATCAAACTCAAATGTTAACGAGCCAAATTTAGACATTAAAATATGACTAATGCAAATAACTAAAAAACCAGAGGGACAAGAAAGCATAGAGAAAACAGAATATTAAGTGGCAAAGGAAACGAACAATTTAGAAATTAAAATAAAACTGCAAAAAGACATAATTTGCACAATTATAGATTCCTGTCTTGCCCCATAATGAAAGCTAAGAATACTTATAATCATCAACATAATCACTATTACAAAATGCTAATACTCCCTAATCTTTCTCTAATTTCTTTTTCTTTTTGTCCCCCATCCATAACATCATATTAATCACACCCAATAGTATGAAAAGAGTAACAGAGTAATGAGTTTCAACCACATTAAACTTTGGTCATGTTTTCCCAATGAAGCAGAAGAACTAACAGATCTGTTACATAAAACAATAATTTCTATTATTAATGTAATGAAATAAAATTAAAATATTTGTAAGGTTCCTTCAATTTTGGTAAATTAGTACTGTACATACCCAGGTGATGAATAGACACAATTTCCATAACCTGAAAAGAAAAAAGGAAAACACATACGGTTGAGTGTCATGTACTGAAATTTCACATAACTGGAATTAAAGTTATGAGAAGAGAGTAAAGTGTCCATTAGTACTATGCACTAAATTTTCATAATGCTCCCAGTAAGAATTATGCTTTCTCTTCTAAGCTTTCTAAGCTTTCCAGCTACAGGTGTCATACAATTGTCATATATATGTTTTAAAAGTATTGGACACTGCAAACCGCTTTATCATACAAATATCTTATATGTGTCGAACATCGCAACACGCTTAATTTTATTGATGTCATACATGTGTCATACAGATACCACACGCTTAATTTTACTGATGTCATACATGTGTCATACAGATACCACACGCTTAATCTTATAGATATCATACAAATGTCGAACACGGCGACACGCTTAATCTTACAGATGTCATACAAGTGTTAGACAATGCGACATGCTTAGTTTTACATGTGTCATACAAGTGTCAAACACTTCTACACGCTTAATCTTAAAAATATCTATAAGTGTTGGATACGACTACACGTTTAATCATATCGATGACATACAAATGTCTTATAAGTGTAAGATCTTACATGTGTCATGTTACATGTATCGTATAAGTATCGGACACTCTAACACACTTAATCTACCGGATGTCAGACAAATATCTTATAAATATCTGACACTGCAACACGCGGAATCTTAATGATAGAGGTGTCTATGTTTCATAGGAATTAGAGTCCCCTACAAACCAAAGATTGAAATCAACTTACTGGGATTCTGTTTTGTCAAAGAAGCAGTTCCTCCAAAATTGCAAGCAATATCAGAATTCCCATTAGTTTGATAATAGCTGTTGAAAGCAAAAGAAGCATGAGAAACAAGTGTGTCCGGTTGAAAACAAGGTCCATCTTTCTGTATAGCTTTACAATCAGCCATTCCAAGTCCACAAGCCCAATCTAGAGCATTCTGTAAGTCAGCTTGTGAAACACCAGCAAGTGCCACACACCATGTTGTTCCATCAATGAATGTTGTGTTTCCCTCTGGTGGCGCTGACACCGTTCCCACCGGAACTGGAATCACTGCATCTGATTTCTCTTGCACTACAACTCCCTTAGCAATGCCTACAAACAAAAGATTACCATGTATCATGGACACACTAAATTTGACCTCGACAATGACACAACCATATCAATAATAATTTGAAAAAATAAATAAATTAAACATAATCACGAGTGTCTGATACCAACACGAACTCAGACATATCTTTTTTTCAGAGAGATGTTGGTGCATCATACATATCTTTTTTCAAAGGGGTTAGGTGCCGAACAAAGTCTAAAAAAATACAATGAAAATGAAGAAAGAAAACCAGCAAACTTACCAAGATAACAACATTCCATGAAAGCCAGGAAGAGAAAAAACCATAGTTTCTTTCTCATGATTTCAGGTTGAAATGAAAAAAAAAAATGTTATTTATAACTTAATAATATTCCAAACTTCTAAATAGCGCTATGATGACTGTGAATGAGCCTCACACTCTATAGTAAAAAAGCATTTATTAGTGACAATGGAATCACTAGTTACTTGAAGGAAGTATTTATTTTTCCTTTTTCACTTTTTTGTGATTTTATTTTATTTTGTGATGGAGAAGAACAATGTATACCTAGTGAAGTAAGTAGTACTATCTCTGGCAGAGTGTAGCAGTTTATTCATTTTTAGCTTTTTAGCGCTCAACAAGCTAAATAAGGTGGTGGTAGTGTCCACTATGTAAAAGATATACATTATTATTTTGCCAATTTTTTTTTTACCACTCTCTGGTTTCCATTGGAAATGAACCTACTAGACTCTCCATGGTCCCGCCTAATTAACCAAAATTAATTTTAACTCTATTGAATTTAAAAGTATTTTGAAACAAATAATGATTTATTTATAGACTTAAATGCCTCTTTTATTCTATTACATAAGAAAAATGAAATTTTATTTCCTTCATTTTAAAATTAGATTATTTATTTATTTATTTATGTTGTCAATTTTTTCATTTGATTGGGTCTTATGCCCCATTTTAGAATCTATTTCATACTTAAATAGATATTTAATTCGTAAAAAGGTTTGTGGTATGGTGGTAGAGATCTTTGGAGATATGATATATTGGCACATGCGAGATTTGTATTGTAATGCTCAAGTTAGTATTTGAGAGAGGTGTAATTATGCAAGTGCGAATGAGAAAAGTACTTGGTCGTGATTCAGAGTCACACTTATATAAAGGTGAAGGTTAGAACCATCTACGGTTGATCCAGTGCAAAGGTCTAGAATTGAAGGTCACGTGTACATTAGTTAGTGGAAAGCTTTCGTTGGATTGAGTCATTAGATTTGGCCAGTCTGGAACAATTGTTCTACAAGTCCTAACTATCAATGTTGGAGTGAGGAATATTGAAGCATAAGTTTTAAGATCGATCCAAGTGGATGTTTCGTTGAGGAAGTAAGTATGCTGAGAAGATGCCTCATATAAGAGAATGAGTTTCGTTGTGGCGCTGAGTGAGCGTGTATGACATTTGGAATATGCACATTTAATGTATATCGTGTAGCTGAAGCTTCTTACAAATGTGAGCGTGAACATCATATTGAAGGAATATGCACCTCAGTATTTGTTGAAAACTCCACTTGTTGAATTTGCAACTTGGTGTTGACAACCTGACTTAGCTACTTACACTTAGTATTTAATATCCACCTCATATCTCACATTCATGTAAAAAGTGTTAATTCAAAAATCTCAGGCAAACAGATGCCCCCCCCCCCCAAAAAAAAATCCTATTTTTAATCATATTTGCAATATGGTAGAAAGATGACATTTTTTAATAAACATTATTCAAACTATTATACATATTGAGGCTAGCGGGATTATACCTGAGTGAATCACACACTCAAAGATACAACAGAGTCGCCACCAAACTTTATTTAGTCCCAAAGGACAGGGAAAATATCGATAAAACCCAAAGGGAAGAGAAACGGGAAAGGGGGTCGGTTATGCGAAAGGAAGGTTAGCACCTTAAGCATCCATCATACCCGACGAGAACCATTTCACTTGCTTCTAGGCTTGGATGGGTTATCTGTCTAAATGCTTCTAGCTAAAAAGGAAAGAAAAGAGAGAAAGTGAAGAAAGTGATCGCGGAGGATTGGGGCCCTCGTGCCTACGTACCCTCATAGTGCAATGAGGAAGTCAGAACTCCGTAGTTCAAGGAACCAAGGAAAAGAAGAGGATCTGGACGAACTAGAGAGACAGGAGAATGGAAGAAGACGGAGGAAGGTGGCTCACCAAGATTTCGCAATCTTGTGCCTACGTACCTTCATAGTGCAATGAGGAAATCAGAGGCTAAGTAGTTCAAGGAACTAGCGCTGAAAAAGAAAAGGGAAAGAGACGTCGTCAAAGCTAAGAGCGAAAAGGGGAAGCAAGACCCCAACTGGGAAATGCAAGAGGAATGATGTCAAAACCAAGAAAGAAGATGAAAGAAAACTCTGCTGAGGAACGAAGAAGCAAGGCAAGAGCTCTGTCGAGGAATGCAGAAGAAAAGAGATGACTCCCTTGGGGAGAAAACAAAAGAATGGCGACGGGGCCGAGGAAAAAGGGACAAAAATCAAAGTAAAGGTAAGATCCACGAGGGACTCGGTGCATTAACTGGAAAGCAGTGATTAACCGAAGAAAGATAAGAGTAAAACGGTGTTGGGAGAGCAAAAAGGTTGGTGCCGACAGACGGATTGCGACGAACCAAGAGAAAGAGAGTATTGAACCAAAGGGAGGTGTTTGACTCTGAGGGGAAATCAGTATATTAACTGATAAACAATGGTTAACCAGAAGGAGAAAGGAACTGGTTTTAACCGATAAACGATGATCAACCAAGAGACGGGTGTGGAATCAAGTAAAGGTTGTGACCCAAAGAGCGGGCGTGGAACCAAGCAAAGGTTGTGACCCCTAAAGAAGAGTACATTGGCAGAACAAACAACACTCGACCAAAGGAAAGGGTATTCGAACCGAATAAAGGTTACTAACCCAAAGCTAGTAGTATTTGAGCCAAATAAAGGTTGCTAACTGCAGGGGGTTCGGTGTTACCATGCAAATCGTGATTAACCAAAAGAAGGTGATTAACTCAAAAGAAACTCAATATCTTAACAGACGGACTATGGTTAACTGAGAAAAAGAGTGATTGGTTCAAACAAGTGGGCTGTGATTGACCAAAAGGTGGGTGTTTAACCAAGAGAAAGTGATTAACCCAAAGAAAAAGTTGGTTTTAGCGGGCATACCGGGATTAACTAAAGATCGGGTGATTAGCCGGAAGAAGGCGATTAACCTAAAGAAAGTTCAATATTAATAGATGGGCTATGATTAACTGAGGATAAGATGACTGACTTCACTGGGGAAGAAGAGAATTGGATTAACCAAAGAACAATTGAATAACCAAGGAAATAAGTGATTACAAATATCTGGGGAACCAAGAATGGATTGGCCTTAAGAGGAAAGAGTGTTGAATTGAAAGGAGGAAGTCACCTCCAAAGAGGAGGTAAAGGTGCAAGTGATCAAAGATCGACTCGACTAGAGAAAGCATGGATACCACAGTAAGAAGATAGAGACAACTATTACAAGCACATGGTCATTCATCCCCTACCCAAAATAATCAGAATGAGTGTATGAATTCTCCACTCTCATTCCTTCTCTAATACCAAAGTGTGGTGCAAGAAACGAACGGCCAACACAACAGCGCCAAATTTGTACAGTGCTCCAATGCATTGCGAATCTTCAATTCCATGGGGGAAAAGAGAGGAAAAATATCTAGAAGATCCAAAGGAGGAGAAAAAAAGGAAGGATTGACTAATTGAAACAGAGTTTCAAATTAATCAATCAAAAGGGGACAATGCTAACAATTTTTCAAAGGGATGAAAAATCATTGAAGCAAAGGATGAATTATTGATTGTACTAGATTAAGTTCATTCCATTGAGGATCAAACTTAATGCAAACATGAATAGAAGTGTAAAACAGTACCAAATGCAATTAGTATGCATCACGAATCATGTAGCATGTGATCAAAGAATATGCAAGAATGATCATGATCATACAATGTCAAAAGTGCAAATAATCGTGAATCGAAAAATCTCACATTGAAAGTTTGCATATATGCATCAAGAAAATTTTTTAAAACTCAAAAAACATCCACAAATATCAAGCATATCAAGCCATGGAAGTTACATGAGGAATGAATAGCAAACAAGCTTGAAAATAGGCAAAAAAGCCATTTTGTCACAGTAACCGGTTACCACATGCAGATAACCGGTTACCTGTTTAAAAATGGCAACATTACGTGAAAATTGTGTAGGGTAACCGGTTACCACATATAGGTAACCGGTTACCACTGTGACAGTGGCATAAACAACTTTTGAAAAAGCACTTTCAGCAACCAAAACACTTATCCAATCATCCACATGCCATGATTAACATTTGAGCACGAAAAATGAAGTTCAAAATCACTTAGGCATCAATTAAATATCAATTGAAAGCATTAAGCATGAAGATCAAAGATCAAACAATCACATGATCAATTAACACCAGAAAATGATCGAACTACATCGCAAACGCGCGAAAGTGATCAAAACAGTAAATCAAGTGCGAATTACCAACCTACAAGGCGGAGAAGTGCCTTGGTAATTGTTGCTATTGATATGTGATGAGAAATAAGCAAAGAAAAACAGAGAATTTCCAACTTGAGATCAAATCGTAGCGAAATCGATAAAAACGCGATAAATGCTCCAAATACCGATTTGCACCGAAGAAGCTTTGACATGATTTCTTGAATTGGAGAAGAACTACTGTAAATCCAGGAATCCAAGTAGGAATATGGTGGAATGGGGCTTAGCTTAAGAGAATAACAATTTCAATGTGAAGATTGTTACACTCTAATGATGGGAATTGAGCTTTTGTAAGATTTTGGGAAGATAATGAAGATGAATGTGAGAAAAAGTTGCAGAAAATTCAGAGAGAATGTGAGAGAATTGAGAGTGAAAAATGTAGAAATTGAGAAAATGATTGAACCCCCTTGTGAAATGGTGGTGATTTACTTATATAGAGTTTTGCTTCGAAGTTGCTAGGTTCGAAGTGAGCTTTGGATATAGCCTTGGAACTAGCCTTGGAGTTAGTTAGCCTCAACTCACTGAGTTGGAGGTTAACTCGGTTAGTTAGGTAGTTGACTCGGTAACCATCCCAAATCAAACTTGAATATAAGAGCTCACATGTTTGGGAATGAAGCAACATTGTGGTCTTAATCCAAATTGATGTATTGGAGTAAATGCCTTGAAATGTTTAGAAAGGTATTGAATTGTCTAGAGATGTCTAGAATGTTCCACACAATGCTAGAAAAATGTAGAACCTCAAAATAGTAGAGTGCAAGTGGCTGT